CTGTTTTAAAAGATCTGACTGGTTCAAGAAAGCACCCAAAAAATCTCTAGGATCAATGTACCCTCCTTCCCCCTTTTGCTCTGTTTCTCCTTTCTGTTCGTTTTGGACTCTTACATCAGCTTATCAAAGACTCTGCTCTGTCTTGCGGCAAAATTTTACATGCCCATCATAGACAAGATATGAATATTCAAGATGTTGCAAGGAGCAAGTAAAAAGCAGAAAATATGAAATTCGAGAGAGGCATAAAATGGAGAGTGTGGGATAACATGGAATAAGCCAAATTAGTACATGTAGATCAATTTGAATCGTACACAGTATCCAACTGGAATTCCTCATTTAGAAAGTTTTCGCAAAAAGGAGGGACACTAAGTACAAATCTTCGAGCTGCTTGGGTAAATCACCAAGTAGCACCTGCCTCCATGTTGAGCTTTAAGCCAATCACAGTAGCAGTAGCAGCTGTGACGTATCAAATTCTTAATTTGCTTTTTAACTAGCTGAGTTAACTGATAAATCACACTCTTACCAAATCTGATGGGCAGGAGTGCGCAAAATCTTTACCATCCACAAAGGCACAAATTGCATACTTTTGGAGAATTTCTAAAATGAAATAGAGATCATTCCAGCTGAAACCGGGGCAGCCATGTTTGTTTTGCTTTGGTCACTTCTGGATGATATGTTGACGTTATACACGTCACTGCGTTTTCTTGATCTGAAAGATTCTTTATCAAGGCCAGTGCATCTGTTGGCTCCTGGCTAGATGTATTTTCGGGAGTTTGTGATTTTACAAACCTCGTGAAAATTCATCTTGCTAATAAGGTAAGGAGTTCATACATAAAAACATGCCTACTGTATGGGAAATAGCATTCTGATATTGTTCTGAAAATCGGACAGGAAAATCTGGACAGGAAAGACCAATAAAAGAGCAATTTGTTGTCAATATCCGATATGCCAATATTTACAATACAATGCATTGATAACTGATACAGATATTTTTTTTCACTAGAGCTACTTACAGACACTATGCAGTTTTCCCTTCATGTCCTGGACAGCTATTTCAAAGAACAGTTCTGAAGCTTTAAAAAACATCCATATGATTACATTTTTACTGTCAGCATCTCTACTGTGGAAGACTAGTGCATCAGTTGGGTGCTCGTGAGCCGCTGCCATTGCAAGCATAATCATTAGTTGTTTTTCACAAAAACATGCATTTTAAAATATTGTTTAACTCTAGTATAAACCCAGGAACATATGATGTAGTCCTATAGCGGTGCTGTGGTGAGTGATGTGTGGAGGTGATGTAGTCTGATCATTATGGTGTTATCAGTGTTTTTTGATTTTGTCATTATTTCAAAGATTAAAAATGAACCCTTGTGATCTTATCATTCATAGTCATACTCATCATCCTCAGTTTATCCATGTCACAGCATTCTCCGCTGGGACTCCAAGCCTTCCCTCTCCCCAGCTCCCCAGGCAGCTCCTGCAGCTTTCCTGGGGGGAGGCCTGATGTATTCTTTGGCTAGCACAGGGACATAGTCCCTTCCTCTTTGTTCTGGGCCATCCACTGGGCCTCCTTCTGGTGGAATATGCCTGAGGTGTCAGTTGAGAAACCTCAGCTGACTTCTCTCGATGTGGAGGAGAAGCCTCTCTACTCTCAGATGAGATCCACAACCTATGTCTTATGGAAGTGCCCAACCATCCTGCAAAAAGAGCTAATCCCAGCCGCTTATATCTAGGATCTCATTCTTTTGGTAATGATATAGATTTCATGACAGTAAGTGAGGGTAGGACATAGATCAACTAATAAATGGAGTTTTGACTCAGCTCTCTTCACCACTACGGACAGCGCCGTGTTCGCATTTTAGCAGCAGCCCCACTGATCTCTCTATCGATATCTCGCTCCCCTCAATTGTGGACAACAACCAGAGATATTTGAACTTTTTCAATTGAGGTAGCGACTCCCCTCAAACATAAAGGGGATACACCATCTTTTCCCGGTTAAGCATCATGGCCTCAGACTCGGAAGATGGCTGATCCCAGCTGTTTCCCAAAAAACTGTAATCTCCTCAGTTCATGCTGTAGGTCTTGGAAGGAGGGAGTCAGCAGACCATGTCATCCACCAAAGAAATGGCAAAATCCCCTGGCCCCCAATCCAGACCCCTTCTGGTCCCTAGCCTAGTTGTCCTGTCCATGAAGGTTATGAACAGGAACAGTGACAGAGATCAGTCCCTACTGGAGTCCAATATGCACTGAGAAGATATCTATGATGGGGCCATAATGATCTAACTATTATATTTTCAGTAGTAAATAATACTGTGAAGTATCGGGAAACATCAAACAGCACAAGTTTACTTGGTTAAGCTTGTTTAAATAAAAGATTGAAAAAATTACACATTTGTGAGTGATTTTTTTTGTCAAAACCATCCAGTTGCACCTTATGCAGCCTTTAAAGGCGCAGTAGGAGATCTTGGAAAAACTGTTCCAGCAAGCTATTTTTTTGAATATACACAACCATGCCTCTCCCTTCAGAACATGCCTCGAAACCACGCCTTCAAAATACATGAGTGCATGCTGTCTGCAGCGCTGATGCAGCGATTCAGAGCGCTATGATCACTCCTCTGAAACAGTTTATTAACGCCTAAATTAACTTAAGATGCCAAAATCTGCCAGCAAAACGTTAGCTTTTGTTATCTTGGTGCCTGCAGTTTGGATTACGTACATGAATTCAAGCTGCCGTGGCAAACCACGAATAGACGACCGGGCCATGGCTGTTGTTGAATGGGATTCCTACTAGTGACAGCGCACTGCCCGCATACGGGGGTCTGAGTGGCTCCGACAAAAATTATATTTGCAGGCAGAACTGTAATCTGGATTAACTGACTGCACTGATGGTGTTTTCAGGTTGACTTTCTCACTTCAAAATAGATTCAAACTACTTTTTACCCACTGATCACAGCAAATATAGCTGCCATTGTTAGTCAAAGAAAGAATAGGGTAGCTCCACCCAAAGCTCATGTCCAAGCTACCGCCACCGGGTCGGGTTTGGCAGTCTGTCCCCATCCACAGGGGTTCTTGGACCAGCCCCGTAGCTCACGGCTTGGTTCCAATGCCCGGTCCAGTCCAGTCAACAGCAAAAGTATATGATTAAAAGTTTACAAAGTTGTAGTAGGACCTGGGCTGTACCACTCAGTATGTATGCCTCACTGGTACATTGCAGTGCAGACTAAACTAAAGCCATTAGCGGTGAATTGCTACTGTATCATTCATTGCTTACCTCATGCCTGCAGTATTGGTGCCTATTAAATGCATTATGTCTGCACAGTGTCTCATTGTCCTCCATGAACTCCAGCATCGTCATCTTAACTTGAAGCTGCTTGTGTGCTGCACAGTCCCTATGAAGTTTTTGGTTAAGCCTGTGCCTTCTATGGCTTTGCAGTTGTTCCTTGAATGAACCAGAAAAACAGGGTGTTCTTTTTTCAGTAAAAGAGTTCTTTCATAAAAAAAGAGTTTTATTGTTGGAACTAAATAGTATACAACATCACTGACAATGTACTGTATAAAATTTTTTTTTTTACACCACTAGTGGCTCGTTTTTTTGACAATAGGCTGAAAGGAAAGGGGATATTAGAGAGGGGGAGAGACATGCGGCAAAGGACCACAGGTAGGATTAAAGCCCGGGTCGGTTGAGCGGACGATTAACTCCTCAGTACATTGGTCGTGCACGCTAAACACTGCACCATCGAAGCACTCCCAATCTACAGTAATTTAATAATTCTAATCTTTTTGGTTTACATAGACTACTTACATTGATCATGATGATGATGATGGTGATGAGGATTCAATATGAAGTCATTTTCCTACCTAAAGCTTATTTCTGCTGTGGGATAACCATTGTTTTGTCCTTTCCTGGTAGGACAAGTTCCACCCTGTCGTCAGCCCAAATAAAAGCTTCTTACTTCAGCAGTAACTGCAGTCACTATTCTCCTTCTTCTTGTTGTTCTTCCTACACCAGTTTCCCGCACGTGCACAATGTGATCTATACCTTCCTTGCTTCGGTTGTCGCAGTACCGCGACACCCACTGGCATGGCATGCGTACTACAACTCTTTTCTAACTTCAGGCAATTTCGTCATTGCACTTTCTCTGAAAATATCTGTATTTAGCTTTGTTCGATGTGGATGTAGCTTCAAACTGATGCAAAGGCATGTTTCAGCCTTAACCATCTTTGTCACTTCACTGTTCTTCCCCACATCAGCACCCATGCTTTGTTTTAGAAAGATGAGTCAGTCGAATTTGTTAGGAAAACCTTTGAATTTGCCTGTTGTGACTGGCCTATAAAGACATTGTGCATTGACCCAACTTCATCCTAAGGCCATCTGTAGTTTTAAATCAGGAAGAAGAACCTTTTTCTCTGCAGGTACACAACACAAACTGGTAAATGCTGTCACAGACAGAGGAGCTGGCTTTGACTGTGAGAGGTTGTGGTGAATACCAAGCTGTGATGAGAGGGGAGGTAAAGGAGAGCTTTGAATTAACCACGTTGTCAGAATATCCCAGGATGACTCACACCACAAACATTGTCCGTTAGGTTGAGGTTTCCTGCAAGCATACATCTGCCTCATTGTGTGGATATCAGTATCTGCATGTTATTGTTCATATTTCTGCTTTTTGTATTTAGATTGTTCTTAGTGAGAACACATTAGGTTCTAGGTCAGACATTTGGTTGACCCGATTCAGGCAGATACTGGCTCTAGACAGATACATGCTGCCCATTCCATCAGCTTGCATTCATCTGAAGTGTGTTAGTGTAGATATTAGCAGTAAGCCTGGCAGGAGTATTAGTAGTGATGAGTTGAGATTAACATATGAGGTTTAACAGAAATCGGTTTCCGAAAAAGTGTATATATTTAAAGAAACATTTCAGTTTTTATAAATAGAGATTACTTTTTCCAGATTTCCCATCCTCACTCCTAACAATACTCTCTGTTGTTGTTTTTTTTCCAGCTATGGGAAAATGGATGCTCCATACTGCTCAAAATTTGTCTCTGAAAAGAAAAGGATACAAGGCAAAGCAGATAAAAAAAAAAGCACCAGAAAATCTGGATCAGGGTTCTGGACAACTTTACATGTGTACAAATTGATGAGCTGAGCAGCAAAGATCTGATGTCAACTGTAAAAACAAATCAAAGGTAAGTCAGAGGGCTGAGCCTTAACTGTGTGTTGGTTCAACAAACATTTACGTTCTAATAAGTTTTCTAATGTATTTGGGGGATTTTAAGACCTAGAACTGCAAAACGTCCCTGTTAAATGTGTATCTTGCTCTGCTCTGAATCTTTGCTGAGGGAGAGGTTTACTGAATTCTCAGGCTCTCTCTGGCAATGAAGCCCATTGATTGCGCAGCTCATGTCTTATTTCCACCCCCAGCAGTTCATGTCTGGCCCCAATAGTTGGAGCAGTCCTCCTATTTCAAAAACTGCACTCAGTGTACATTTCTGGTGTTTGTAGCAATGGCAGCGCACCATAGCTCTCAGCCTGCATCTAAAGGCTGATTTGTGCTTGATATGTGTGCAAGGTCCACACAGGGCAGCAAGGGCAAATTACATGATTTTAGTAAACAAATCCCCATAATGTGGCTTGAATCTTGCCTAGAAACATTTTTAGCTCCAGAGACATGACGGAAAAGTAACAGCTCCCACTGAAGTGGATTCCCGGATAAAAATATTTACAGATATTTTACAATTTGGCTAAAAAAAACTTTTCCAGGTTTAACAAATTATACACCGCTCTTGAGAGAAAAAGATTCTCATTCTTGGATGACATAAAGTGTTATTAAGATGTTGAAAACAACTGTGTTTTCTATTTGTACCGTGATGTCTCTAAGATGTAGTGTAATTTTGTAAGCTCACCAGTCTGTGCTTTACACTGTCCCCCAAACACTACGAGAATAATGGGCACAGTATGCCTTGTAAGGAAGTTGAATTGTCTGGAGATTTGTGAATTCACAAGCTCCTGAATATACATCTCTCCAAAGCCAACACATGCATTAGCCTTGATACAGAAATGTTTCGGACCAATGAAATGCAGTGACATGTGTCACGTCACTTTGTCGCCCACAAGTAAAAAGCTGAAGGAAAACAAAGATGGCTGTTTTAGCTGGCATAGCCTGTATTTCTTTTTGAAAAAAGAGCAGAAGGTCGTGATTTTTGCCTTTGTGGATGGGAAAGATATTTGCGCTCTCATCCTGACTGCATTTGTTAAGAGTTCAATTAATCATTGAAATCGCTAGTTTTGAAACAAATCAAGAATGTGATGTCACATCTGCTACTGATGGTTGTGATTGGCTGAAAGCTCAAGATATAGGCATCTGCCAATGGTTGACTTACTGAGTCAGCTCAAAGTATGAATTATGAATGTTACAAATACTATTATGAACATTATGGATAATATTAATATCAATTTTATGATTATGAATGTACTGCCCTCTTGCAAATACAGTCCACAGGAGCCTCCTTAGATTGATACTGTGGAGAATTCAAATTGAACTACAAATGTAATCTGGTTTATGCCAGGTTAGGAAAAAGCCGCAAGAAATATTAAATGTTGCAAAAGCTGTGTCTGCAACATTCTGCATGGAGCAAAAATGTGACAAGCATCAAGGGCTGTGTATGCAGCAGTGTTTGCAGTTATCTTGTCACAGGTATGACGCAGATATTTTTGCTTTATGCCCAATTTTGAACCATGGTCTGCGCTATGTTATTCCACACCATAACGCTAGAGGGACAATCACAAACAAGCTAAGATTGTGAGTTTCCGTGTGTCAGTTTGACGAGCTTGTTGGCCATCTACAACCCCTCATCCAACGCCAGAAGACAGACAGTTCACCTGTGATTGTTCCTGAAAGACTGGCCATGGCGCTGCATGTTTTAGCTTTTGGTGCAAACCAACAGAACGTCGCACAGAACTACAAACCAGCATTGTGTATGGTGTCTGGGATAGTGTCGGATGTGTGCCAGGCGTTGTGGATTTCACTACAGCCAGAGTTTCTGCCATTAGGTACCAAACAGAAAATATGCATAGTGTAGAGCGGAAGTAGAATTGACCAATCAGAGGCCTCCTTTCTTTTCTCCCTTTGACATAATCTGCAGCAATGTCTGCGGTCACCTGAAATTTTAATATCTGCGTTAACTGCTACACACAAAGGCGATGTGGTTTCTGAACATAAACCAGGCTTAAGTCAACTTCAAGTAAATCACATTAAGGAGACACACTAGAGGTTTAGGTGCAGTGCTGCACCATTTAGATTAGCTGTAAAGAGCTGAACAGTTCCTCCAGGTTCAGACTGGAAAGCCATCTCTCTGGCTTTAGGGTTAATCCAATTTCCTGCTGCTCACCATTTTCACCATAAGCATGACCATTTTCACCTTTTAACATACTTTTAGGCTAGCTGTTTTATGTATTTCCCTTGGTTAATGTGGGGAAGAATAGAGCAGGTACCTTGCAAATGGTTGATTGTGAGTTCCATTTTAGCTTACCCCAGTCATATATTGATGTGTGACCGAGCACTGACCGCCAAGTTATCCTGCACCTAACTGAGTTTAGGTACAGGAGTAAATGCTTTGGTGAGTGTGACTGGGTGAGAGTGCCTATATTGGAAAGTTATTTAAATGACCCCTACTGTATGTGTAGAGAAAGTTTATAATAATTCAGCCTGAGCACAGAGAAAACTTCGTGAGTGCGACTGTCAAGAGAGTTACACACTTAAGTGAGAGACTCAAAAATTATGTCTAGGCTTGGTTTGACAAAGGAGACTAATACATGCAGAAATGAATTAATTTCAGTTTTTTCATTCTCAGGTTAAATGATTAATGTTTCTTTTTTTATAGAATTAACATAGGTGTAGTTGTTACAGAACCATTGCTTAATACCATTAACTGCACCAAGTGTATCAAGGAGGACAACTAAAAAAGATTATTCCGGCTATTGCCACTGACAAAAAACAACCTTTTTTTATTGAATTGAATGTCAATGATTTTATTCTGTTCTTTGAACCATGTACACTTGAAATGATTAGCAGCTCCTGATGAAGCTGTTGGAGCAGTTGTATGTGTTATTATGTCTGCTGTGGCATTAGATGGATCTAATTAGCCCCCTCTGAACATGACAAATTGTCCACAGGAAAAGATCTAACTATGGAAAACATCACAGCATGCGTCAGAACTTCAGCACAGGAAGCAGTAGTGAAAACCATAAAGTTCAACATTGGAGCTGTGTGGGAATTTTGATTTAGTACCTATGTAGGTTTGAATAGAGCTATTTTTAAAAATGGCTGAATAGTGAATAATTTGGGTTTGGTACCTACTTTGTAAATTCCTGTCATAACAGTTGAGACATAAATGGATTTGTACCATGTCGTAGTGGAGCCCACTTTCTGCCACCGACCCCAGGGTGAGAGCATAATGACATCCACCACCCATGTGAGCTTCCTAACAGGTGGTGGGACAAACAGGCAGGGTGACACAGGGTCATCTGTTTCTATCACAGGGACAGAAATGATGTCCAGGGGTTGACAGGGCTGTTGTGTTTTTATCAGCCTGGGTGGGTTGTGCTTTTGCTGTGACTACCTGCCTCTTCAGGGTAAAGACTTTCTCTGAGGATCTATGGAAAAATGTGGCTTTCTGCCAAGTGCCCTGATTAGTACCCCAGCCAGTTCCTGGGTCAGCTTAGAAGACAAATGTGTCTGCATCAGCCAGGGGATTTCCACAGTCTGAACTGTAATTATTCCTGCTTACAGTAGAGCCCCGACATTCTGAGCCGATGTTCCACTTCATAGGTTGTACAGCATTACCCTGCTCAGGCAGCTTGGATTAGGCATGGAAATTTGCTTTATATATGCTTTAAATACAGTGACTTATTTTCATATATGTGAGTTTTGGATGTGTTTGATCAGTTAGTACATTCCATGCTAAAATATTTAACAATGATAAAATTATATTTGTTGGATATTAATATGGACCGACAGTATTATAATTTAAGTCCCCTGTCAAGTCCTTGTTTTTTCTTGCTTTCAGGACTCTTTCAGTGCTGTCTGCACAATAAACTTCTTTCTGGCATTTGCCAGAACAAGCGAGACCGGTTAATGGTTCGGAACTTTGGCTTATCTGGGCCATCGATGCAACAAAGGCCCTAATCATCTGCAAAATAAACTTACTTACATGATTGTTAGACAAATTATGCATTAAACAGTTCCAGATAAATGGCTGGGTTGCCAGCTCCTGCACAGCTAGAGGTTGTACGGTGTTGTTTAAGTCTTTATTACCCTTCTTTCCGTTTTTCTTTTTTATCTCACTTAATTTTTTTTTTTTAGAATCTTTATACGTCAATTCCAGACAACAACATAACCTGTGTAAACCAAAAAGCAGCTTTCAACTAATGATTGTTGGACATGAATTGCAAATAAGTAAAATTAACTCTAAAATATTCCAACAACAATTAGAAAAAATCATGGGACAGTCTCTGCAACTACGAAGGTTGTCAATGATGTATTTAAGGCACTTAATTCAAGAGATTACTGTGCTGCACTCATTTTGAACCTGTCAAAAGCTTTTAACAAGGTTGACCTTAAAATATCATGTCAGATGCTTTTGGACATGGGATTCCCAGATCAGACCACACCTTGTTTTTTAAACTATTTCACTGGGCTCAAACAGTTTGTACAACTTGGTTGTCTAACATCAACTTTTTTGGATGTTACAAAAGGAGTAGCTCAAGGCTGTTTTAGAGCTTACCCTATTCGCCATTTATACAAACACACTGGGACAGCGTCACAAAGATACAGCTGTGCCTCTCTATGATGATGATTACCTGTATGTGATGTACTGTCATCCAAAATCCATAGATTCAGTTTTTCAACATCTGTGAGCTTCCTTTGAAACCATTCAATCTTTATTTAAAGAACATGGGTTAATACTGAGTGCAGTTAAAACTAAAGTTACAGTATATTATTTGCTAATAGAAAAGAAATCCGCTCACTGCCTAAAATTGTATATTGATTTAATATCATCTTATAAACACCATGGCATGAATGATACTCTGAATTTTATAGGGCATATTAAAACTTTGTAAAAAAGTTCAAATTTATCATATTAAATCCTGTTTTTCATACATTATCAGACCTGGACATAGTTCAGGT